AAGAGAAATGGGATAAAGAGCTTTTTATCGGTGTAACCGGAGCGGCGAAAGCGGCGGGGGGGCAGTGACGGAAGCTGGGGCGTTAGCGGAGAGCGCGGTCACCTCCGGCTCGGCCGCCGCAGCGCCTTCTCCTTCCGAACGCGTTAATATCGAACCGGGGTATTTTTTTCCGCGAGACGGGCCGTGATTTAAACAGGAATTTAATCCCCGGAAGGCTTAATGCTTTATTAAACGGGTGATTGGACTAACCGGCCGCTCTGCCGTGCGGTTTTGGCCTGTTTTGGTTTCTCCGTGGGGACGGCCCGGTGCCTTTTGGGCAGCTTCTTTCTCGCTGGGTCAAACGGTTCGGCCGGATGAATTTCGGGGTTTTAACGCGCAGCTCCTGGGCCGTAACGCCGCTTGTTGGCGGCGCGCGGTGACGACGACAACGGTAACCGCTCTCTCGTTGGGGTGGTTTTGGGGATGATTTGCCGAATTTCTCTCTTTAGTTTCTACCACTTGGCACAGTAACGATGACGACGTGTACCGGGCCCCTCCGATCGACCGCTCCATCCTGCCCACCGCCCCGCGGGCTGCTCGGGAACCCAACATAGACAGAAGCCGCCTCCCGAAATCCCCTCCCTACACCGCCTTTCTGGGAAACCTGCCCTACGACGTGACAGAGGAATCCATCAAGGACTTCTTCAGAGGACTCAACGTGAGTCACAGCGGCGGGGCCGGGGGGGTGTGGGCTCTAAAGACCGTGATTTTTGGGTGCTGCCGTCCCCGTTTGCGTCCCGCCGGCTCCCTGTGTTGGTTCCCGCTTCGCCGCCCGTCGGCCGAGGCAGTTCCCGGCTCTGGAGTTGTGTTTTTCAGGCAGCTTTGGCTGTCGTGTTTTCTGCGTCTCGGGGTGATTTAAGGCTGCGTAGTTGGGGCCGAACGCGCACCCGGCTGCTCCCTCGCTCCCCCTCGGCGGGGAAGGAAAACGGGATTGAGAAAATTTGCGGGTCGCGATAAAAGACGGGGAGATCGCTTACCGGTTAGTCACGGGCAAAAAAAAACGATCTCGACTCGAGGGGGAAAACTAAATTTGTTACTGGTTAAAATAGACTTGTTTGCTGCTATTACCTGCTCCGGCACCTGGAGAACCTCCTCCTCCTCCTCTGAAATTTGCCTTCCCTCTGCTGGTTCGCACTTTCCCCCCTTCCCGCTCCTCTGCCTGGCTGAGAAATGCCCTTTTTTGTTGTTTTTTTTTTTTTTTAATTTAAAATTTCTTTCTAAAATATTGAAATATAATTTCACGGAGGCGCCTCAGACTTCGCTGACGGGCTGCGCCGTGGCCGAGAGCAGCAGACGCTCCGGGGGAGCCTGTGACTGCCCCGACGACGTAATTTTTTCCCCAACTTTAAGAATGTTGGAGCTCTTTGGGTTAGTGGAGGAGGAGGTGGGGAGGGCGAAGGAAGGGGACAGCAAAGCAGCCAGGAAGGGGAAACGACCGCTTCCCTCCCGGAATGTCGGCCTGGGAAATGCCGCCGGAGTCGCAGAGCCGTGCTGCGTACCTCCCTCTTCCCATTTTGGGTTGTTTTCCTAACTGAGGCAGCACCCGCTCCTCCCCGGGGAGCGATAGCCGGGGTGAGACT